GTTAACGAGCAGTTGGACAGGTGTACCTAATAAAGTGGCCGGTGAGTGTATATATTCCTGGTTCAGAGCAAAAAAAACAGCTAATACATCATTTCCATTATAACATGACAGTTTTAAAACTAACTAGACAGCTGATGTTGTAGCAGTGAAACAACAACCTGTATGCAACACAGTTGGTAATGACTTTAAAACATCTCCCCCATTAAAACATTTTCTAATACTCTAAATGCTGAGAAACTACCCTTACTATTAGTCTTTATATACTTATGTATATATATATATATATATAAATGATGACAAAATATCTAATAGAGACAGTCTTTTTGTTTTTAACAGCTAACATTTTCCTCACTTGTCTTGCTTTCAGCCTTTGTGACTCTCACTAAACTTGCTCAGTTGTTTGCCATCCACCAGTGTCTATGAAGGGGGCAAGCTTCTAATGTAAAGAGATCCATGTCTCACAAAATGTATTTATGTAATGTGGATCTAAACAAAGCATTAAAGTCAGTCAATTATTTCTTTATGGTTATTTTGCAGTTCTAAACATATTTGGAGTGTTTTTCCTCACTTTTTTTCCTCTAACATTGATAAACATCTCCTATAGTCTAGAGCGACTGTGGCAGAGTGGTTAGGGGAGTAGCCCTGTAACTGGTGGGTTGCTGGTTAGTTTCCCCATTCGAGCCTTCTCAGTCGTCATGTCCTTGGGCAAGAAACTTCACCCGCCTTGCCTACTGAGGATGGTCAGTGGCTGGTGCATGGCAGCCCCGCCTCTATCAGTGTGCCCCAGGGCAGCTGTGGCTACAATGTAGCTTACCACCACCAGTGTGTGAATGTGTGTAAAGCACTTTGGGGGCCCCCATGGTGCTAGATGAAGCGCTCTATAAGTTCGGTCTATTTACCATTTAGAAGACAATTATTGGCTAATGTCCAGATATGCCAATTAGGTGATGACATCATCTAGTAGCTTTTAGGACAGCCAATAGCTACTTTCCTTACTGATGTTTACTCAACGCTAACATTTGAGCTAGCATTATACTTTAAGTATTATAATTAAAACTGGACACAGTGCTTTAGAGAATCRATAAAGTTTTGGGAAATAATATATAATATGGTATTTAAGTGTATCAATATTTTCTTACACCCTACTAATCATCCATCCTATAGGGTCTTTTATTGAAGTGTGTGTGTGTTTTGCAATCAGACCATCATTAACTCATGCTGAGGTTCTGTGATGTCTCTCAGATTGTGGATGTGAGTCAGGTGTTGGAGAACATCAATTTACCGAAGCGGAAAGATCTTCAGTGGCCTGACGAGACCATTAGACTGAGGGCAGGTCGGACCTGCTGGAGAGACTGGAGCCCCTCTGTGGGCATGGAAGGACATGTAAGTTATCTCTGACAGCTGAAATCAGCAGCACTTCTCTGACACTTTGTCACTAGATTATTTCTTTAGTTCACGGGGTTCAAACTCAGTGACACAAGGGGGCCAAAATTCAAAACTTGGTCCAAGTTATGGGCCAATTTCTGTCAATTTGTATTGAAGAAATGTTAACAAATTATTCTTGTAGAAATACAAATTACCTTTTCCAAATTGTTATATGGAACATTTAAAACATACATACCCTAATAAAGAAAAACGATTGCATTTAGAGTAACTCATAAGCATTTATTTATTATTCCTTACCCTCCATTAAAAACTTTATTTTTTTATTTCTTAAAGATATATTTTTTTACAATCCAGCAAATTGGGTATAAAAAGAGACTCACTTAAAATCAAATTATTTACCTTTACAATAAGAAGAGAATACAGAAAAAGGTTAAAGTTGATTCTCTGTTACTCTTTCTATGTCAAAATGAAGATTACTGAAAATTTCAAACTTAATTTTCTTGGCTTGAAAGTTGGTCAGCTGTCGTAAGAAGAATGAACTAAACACAGCAACAAAATGAGAATCTATAAAACTATTTCACATTTAAAGCATTACCTTTGGGGGCCAGACAAAACGTTAATGAGTGCATGATTTGGTCCGCAGGCCTTGAGTTTGACACGTGTGCATTAGTCYGTGCTTCTTCTATTTTTAATAGAGAACCACTGTAATCAAATGGAATTTTTCTAGAACAATAAAAATGAACTAGACGGCTTAATCATCTTGTTTTTAATAAATGGAAAGAAAATCAAATGTTTGTTCTCATTTTGTAACCACAGATAAAAATGCTGCAGTCAGCCATGCTGGGTAAAACAAGTACCAGCTATAAACCCAGTACATCATTGTGGGTTTATTTTTTGTTTATGTCGAGTTTTTAGATGTGAACAAGAAGAAGTGTTGACTAAATCATTATATGATGGGATTTTGTTGGGTCTATGGGTGCAGTAGCATATTAATGAGTTTTATTACAACGCTGCATTCAATGACAGAGTTTAGTTAAAAATTAGATGGACACTATGGACATGGAAATCCTGGTTGGGATAGGAAACACTTTATGTAACGTTAAAGCACTACCATAGCAAACCATTTATCTGACAGTTCTGTTGATAACAAAGCACAAAGTGAAACCAAGTTTAGCTTCCAGCTTCTGAGGTGCAGTAAATAAAGCGTGGTTTAAATTTTAAACTGTAAAACAGTAATGTTCATAACTAAACAAATTTGTGTACATGCTGAAGGACTTTGCTCAAATTTGTTGAAGCTGAAACTGAATTGTTAAAATACACAGAACAGCGTTAAAATTAGCAAGACAGTAGATTAAAGCTAAAAATAGCGCAAGAGGGCAAAAAATAACCAGTATGAAGCAGATTTCATAGAACATGGTTTATTAAGCAAATGAAGAGATCACAGTGTGTTTCTGTGGTGAGAACTATATGKAAACTAGAAGCACTCTGAGAGTGCAAACCTCTGCCAAAGGAGACATGGAAACACATTTGGCAAATAAGTTCTGATGTAATGAACATTTAAGCAGGCAGTATGCACGGGATGTCATTCCGGTGGAGTTCAATGCAAAAAAAAAAAAAACAGTCAGAGACTCGTCACCCAGTGTTATTCATCCACAAACTGGTCCCGGATTAAGCTCCTAAATTTTCATCAGTCAGATTCCATCGTGTAAAACATCTGTTTTATCCCCTTTTATGAGTTGTTAATGGTTTGACTATCTTTCCAAACTGCTGCTTCCTGGTACAATCGGCTCAGCGTCTGAGCGCTTTTAGCGCAAACAAACACTCCCACGAACTTCTGCCAAAGTTCTAATGTGGAGGGGGTGCCTGGTTGATCAGCTGTTCCCGCTGTTCGGTACCAGCTTCGGCTCGGCTACAGCTGGACCCTCCCCCGCTGTCAGCGTCTTCTCAGTTATTCCCGTAACGTAAAGAGAATCACATTTCTTTTTCTGTCTCCAGACAGCATGTAACATCACCAATACTAGTTGATAACAGAATAATCACAACTTTCCCGATAGTAGGCATCCTGGGAGGAGTGATCCCAGCGACTTTGCGACTTCTACTTCCTGTTTCTTACAGGCATTCATCTGACGTAATGACACTTTGCGTAGCCTGTCTGATTCGGTTGAATTAAAAGAAAAATTCCTGTATCCGCATCGTGATCCGGAACATCACCAAAATTTAATGGTGTGTTCCTTGGGCCAATACCCACATGTGGTAAAAAATGTCATGACAATCCGTCCACAAGTTTTTGCGTAATTCTGTCCACAGACAGACAGGAACAACAGACAGACATACGCGACCAAAAACATTATCTCCCCCTCTTGGCGGAGGTAATAAAATTTTATTTACAAAAAGGTATAAAAGTTACAAATACTAAAAGTCCTAGCACACTATTCCTGCTCGAAATGGATTGTCAGACCTTTTGCAACTAGGGGTTATAAATCACTAGCTTTATAATGATACAATATTATATCGATTTGTTTGGATGTTGATTTGATATTTCTCAATATCACAAAATCTGTCGAGATACAATTTTGACTTAATTAAAAAGTCTGCGATTGATATCAGAATCAGCTTTATTGTCATTCACACACAACATCATTGTCAACATAATATGATACAATATCATATTTAACACACTGACAGTTAGCTGGGCATATGATATTGATCTACACTCACCGGCCACTTTATTAGGTACACCACGCTAGTAACGGGTTGGACCCCCTTTTGCCTTCAGAACTGCCTCAATT